GAGGCACAGGGGGAGGGAGACACTTTAATTAGCGAATGCTTTTAATTAAAAGTGCCCAAGTGTCACGTGTATCAGCATCCCCCATACTGAAAAAAGGTGGTGGGGCACTTTGAACTAAAGCTCATCGAAAAAGTATGGGGATGCTAATACATATGATGCCAGTCTTCTGGAGTGTGTTTAATTCAGAGCTCCAGCAGACTTGATTAATCAAGTCAGACTTGATTAATCAAGCTCTGAAATAAACAAAATAATCCTTGATTAATCAAAGTCTGCTCTGACGCACTGGATTTCCAGCATGTTGGAGCCAGCTCCCTGCACGTGTATAGGAGCTCTAGGTGTGAATGAAAACATAGTGTTGGTAATTTTGCAAAAAGAGAATTTAGAAGGAAGATCACTGCATTAACCTGTAATTTAAATCTGTCCTGTGAAATTTTAATATCTGCCTGTCTAGCCACCCATTTTAAAGCAGAATGCAAGTTTCTTTCTTGCTTACTTTTATGTTTGCTTTCTTCATGGCTCCCTCTTGTTGTTGGTGATGTGACCTTACTAATTTCTTTCCCTTCTCTTTACATTTATACCACCATTTTCTGAAGGGGAGAATACGGTCATTTAAATGCAAGACCCACTCTGCCTTCATTTTTCATTCTAATTATATGCAAAAGTCTAAGCTACATGAAGCATAAGGAAAAAATAGAGCTATTTGGTAATTAATGGCTAATGATAAATTGATTTTACTTTTGAATGATTGCAGTTGTCATCTGTAGTATTTAAAACATGGTCTATTCAAAACCCTTGTGTTTTTTGTTTTGGGGGGCTTTATTTTAATGTTTCCAATCAAGAGCAATGGATATAAGTTATGCTAATACCCAGTGGAATTCTAGGTTGGTTCTTATTTCATCACAATCACTGCATATTTGGTTTTGTTTATAAACAGCTGAGTTTCAGTTTTTAAATCCAGGCTGAAGCTTTGTAAAAACTTTGAATCTTAAAACCTTGGTGAAGCCAATAATACAGTGGGCAAAACTTATGGGGAAATGAATGTAGTGTGAAGTGAAATTTGTATGAAGTGTATTTCTGGGGAGAAGCTCTTCTTCTCCCCAGAAATCTGCTAATCTAAAATATTACAGAATGCAAAACAATGGCATTTAAGCCTTAAACTCCTTAATGTGGGGTTTTTTACACTTGTACTGAATAAGTGTTGATTACGGGGATCATCCTTACTGCTGTTTCAGTGCTGGCTAAGGATATCATTCTACCAATTAAATAAATCCCAAATAAAATGGACATGCTGCAGAAGGGAAGATGACTGGAAGGGGAATAGTGGTCTAAGTGCTGTCAACAGGGCAGACAATTTGGCAGGCAAAGTGACCTAGTGCTGGAATGATTGTGAAAGTCTGTCTCCTGGACTGGAAGAGCCTAAGATGATCATGCAAGTGATGCTGTGAGACAAGTTTGGCAGAGTGGATGCAATCGATGTCATTCTCCTTTGCCCCTCTATTGTCACCACCTGGGGCAAGCTGCTTATAAACAACTTTTTGCAAAAAAAGTTTTCAGACGTGGTTTGCTCACTGCGTAGGTAGGTTTTAGCTTCCCTCCTTTGTGCCGGGAATGCTAAAAAACAAGAAGATGCAGTAAATTAAAAACAGCATGGGCCTGATCTTCAGCTGTTCTAAATCAGTTTGCTCCACTGAAAACCAAATGGGTTGTGGCAATTTACACTAGTGGAGCATCTGACCTTAGATTCTCATCTATTTTCCTGTAAACTTATTGAACAGGAACATCCAAATAAACAGCAAAGGGAAGCATCACCTATACATTTCCCTCCCAATGTTCCTCAGCCATTTCCTAGGAGGATGACTACTGTGCATATTCTCAGAGACCCCAATCAGAATTGGGGCCCAGTTCTGCTCATACTTTACAAACACATACAAAGATATTTCAGTTTTAGTCCCTCTCCCCAAAAAAGCTTTGCACACATGGTTAATTGTGTCCTGTCAGTTTTACTAAAGTCAATTAGGCTATTCAGTGCTAAAACTAAATGTGTATGTTAAGTATGATCTAAGCCTAAACAGCCAAAAAGCCACTCTGAGCCTTTAGGGATAAGGCAGAATTATAAATCTAAACATCAATAACAATAAAGAATACAGAAAGAAGCAGAGTTGAGTAACATTTTCCCAGATGCCTAAATGACTCAGAAGCATAACTTCCATTCACATGACTCAGGTATTGCCTACCCTTGGGCTACTTCTGCCACCTTCCTTGCACACTGTTCTCATGGCTTCTGAAAGCTCTGCACAGCTCTTAACAAACTGCACCCTGTGAACGCACAGCTGTTGAAGAGGTCATGGCAGCTGGCAGAAGGGGCAGGGATATGAACATAAGCTTTTTGCTGGCTACCCCATGACAGAGGAGCCCTTTCTTCCCATTGAGAAACTGGTGGTGCTCTGCCACTGGGCAAGTAAGGTTATGACTTGGCAAGACTCTAAGTATGGATGGGCTCATAGTTTTTGCTGCTGGAACCTAAACTGTGTTATAGCATAGATCAAGATTATGCTATAACACAACACTCAGGAACCTAAGTCACTATGAAAGCTAAAGTCATCCAGCACTTTTGAAAAGGTAACACTAATATCTGCAACTTACTCCACATGGGCACAAGATAACCACAATTTTGCCATAAATTTCAATGACTGAGTCAAAAGACTTTTCTTTGTGGGCGTGTCTATGCTATACTGGGTGCATATATAAGAAACACTTTAATCTACAGTAAAACTTCACTGTCTTAACATGCACAACAATTAATATGTGGTATATTAGTCTAATGCACTGCTTTCTAGCACCTGTAGATACAGGTACTAGAAAAATTGTGTGTTAACTAACGTGCCATACCACACATGTAGACACTGACTGGGAGCTAATTGCTCCTGGTTGGCCTACACAGCAGGGAGCCACCCCAACACTCCCATGCTTGAGGCCAACCCAATCCTCCCGCAGAAGGGAGGGACCTGCTCACTGAGCTGGGACAACTCCTCCCCACCCTCTGGAGCTGGGGCGAAGCCCCCATGGCCCCTGCCAACCCAGGACTGGCACCCAGGGGAGCTTGAAGCTCCCCTAGGATGCTGTAGGGAGGCAGAGCAGGGCAGGAGCAGCCCTGGACTGGACTGCTCCTGTCAGGCTCAATTTGCTCCTGACTGGGGTGCACATGTAGACGTGTACTGGGAAGCACTTTAATGAGCCTGAATTTTCTGCAATTAATTGCACATGTAGATATACCCACTGAGATGTGACATCTACACAATTCTCCTGGGAGGCAGAAGTTGTTGGTATGTATCAAGGGTCACACAAAGTAGAATACACTTCTTCCAGTTCAGGAAGGTACTTGCATGGAAGCAGGCCTGTTCCATCCTTGTACAGTGCTGCCTGGGACCATAACTGACCAGCTTAGACCTGCCTTTTGTAAGTTATCAGACTTTTCTTTCTCAAAATGTAATACAAATAAAAACTAAGGAACTAAGGAACAACAGTTGCAACTGCTAGTTTTTTAACTATTTGGTCCAGTTTTCTAAAACCAGTGATTTTCATGTATGATTTCTAAGTCCTCTGCACCACAAGGAGATAGTTGCTTCCTCATAAAGATGGCATGAACCTATCACCTCAAACTGCTGCTACTGCGGCCTTTCAAAATATCAAAAATGAGGAGCACTTTAAATGCCCTGAAAACATGACAAAAATTGTTGACTTTGAATACTCAGGAAATAAAATGAAAGAAGGTCACAAAGTCAACAGCTGGAAAAACATTTCTGGGGCTTATCTAGCACTCCTTCATGCCTGCAACAACTCTGGTATAGCAATGGAAGGTCACATTAAGGAAAATCTTCCTCAAATAATACAAATTATTTCTTTATACAGAATGAAAGTCTCATTAATGTCCTTGCAATGCCTTCCACACGAGGCACCTCTCCAAATGCTTGACTGTGAAAGGCTGTGCAAAAAAACTTCTACATTGCCAAAAGGGCACTGAAAAATGGGGGTCCCATAACAGTTCTGGTTTGGAACAGCTGTTGGGAATTATTTGTGGGGACAAAGAACTGACGAGATCTACACTTAAACAGCTCTATCAGTTCCAAACTCCTGTAGAAGAGGCACAGAAACTTAGCAGTTGCTATTCTTAGAAGGAAGTTTCAGACTAGATACAAGGAAAAATTTCTTTATGGTTTGTGTGACCAGACTCCAAAATGGACCTCCAGCGGGGGTGGTGCACAATGTTCCCTCTAAGGTGGAGCAATCTGTGAGTGCACTGCTTTGGTCCGTAAGCTCGCCACTTTAGTCCCACCTCCCCCTTTCGCTAAGCCTGGATCTGGACTACGCTACACCTAACAGATTAGAATCCTCATGTAATGGGTCCACATGCAGTGGATATTGCAATAATCCTCCAAACACAAGACTGGGGGCTGGGGAGCAGAGCAGTTCCCCAGAGCCAGACCCATTCATGATGCAGAAATCTTATGTCATGGTTAGACAAAGTGCTTTGGGTAAATGTGATAGAATTTACCCAAAGCGCCTTGTCTGCCTATGTCCTTAGAGCAACGCAGCTGTAACCAGCACCCCCAAACTACATCATGATTAGGAACGATTCCTTACGCCTGCTCCTTTTCCTCTGATGCAGACGCAGGTTCTGCACCATCCTGCTCTGCCCCGCACACCTTTTCCTGCTGCAGGTAACCAAAGTGAATCCTACAGTGGTGCATTGGGCTGCGTAAACACTGTTGCTGGGAGATCAACATGCTGTCTGAAGAGGAGTGAAATGTCAGGGTGCGCTCTTGGCTGCCTCGAGCTGCTGCTGCTTGCAGCATTTAATCTGAGATCTGGGGAAGCCAAGAACCACGTGTCCCTGCTCCAGGAGCAAGGAGGCACATGGACTTGGGGCTGAAGAGCAAAGCAGTTCCCCGGAGCCGGCGGAGCCCGCACCAGCCCCAGGCCCAGCCCCAGCTCCCGCTCCCACCTTGCCTCCGGGAGTGAGGAGGCACATGGCCTCAGGTCTGGGGATTAGAGCAGTTTCCCAGCGGCAGCCTCCAGCCACCGCCCCCACCTCACGTCCAGGAGTGAGGAGGCACATGGCCTTGGGGCTGGGGAGCAGAGCAGTTCCCCAGCGCCTGCAGAGCCTGCACCAGCTCCCAGCCCCCACCTTGCCTTGCCACGCTGCAAGGGAGCACAGCATTAATAAGTTAGTGTGCAGCATGGTATTAAATTGTGCATGGCCGCGCACATGCGCAGCTTGGAAGGAACCTTGGTGATGCAGGCACCTACCCTGGAGATCTTCAAAAGGAGACTGGATGCACACTTTGCTGGGGTTATTTGTCCCCACCAGTCTTTCCTGCCTAGAGCAGCGGGGCTAGACCCAATGATTTCACAAGGTCCCTTCTAGCCCTAAACTTCTGTGAATCTGTAACAGGAGTATATAGCAGCTGCAGAAGGTCTGTCCTTCAGCCCCAGCATCAGCTAGCAGGTTAAGAGTGGATTCTATATTTGCTGTTTTTTGCATAATTCTCTGCATCAAACCCTAGTAATCAGGAAAGGGAAGTGAAGCTCACCCTTGGACTAATTAGTATTTGAGATTATCCAGTAAATCATTTTGAGAACTGGGAACATAGCTAAAAATGGGAAACTTAAAGGTACGAAAGGAAGTAAGCAATTTATGAACTCCAGATACACACTTGCTTAACAAGTGGCTAAAATCTCACCACACAACAAATATTCAAGCTCAACAGTTTTGCACTGTCAAATCCTCAAGTAATTTTAGGCCTTGATAAAGATTTGTATTCTATAATTAACTCACTCCTTTATTCAGCACCTGAATAAATATATTCTCCTTTCTTTCAGTACACAACTTTATTCAGGTCATATAGCAATATAACATTTGCAGATGAAAAAGAACCCATGTGGCTCATCTGTCTAGAATTTATGCCTAATAATATCTTTTACTTTATGTATTTTTTCTCTAATATATTTTCTTTTTTGTATCCAAGTGAATATAAAAATAACAATAAAAACCTCTCCATTATGTTTCCAGTGGCACACAAGATGGTTGACAGGCATATAAATGTAATAATGAGGTGGTTTCAGGGGCAGGTTAATGTTTTTTGCTCACACATGATGCTTTCAGCCTTAGGCTTTGCTTCAGGCCAATACCACTTCACCTGGGCCACAGCTACCACTGAACACCCATTAAATCAGTCAGACTTAAATGTAATATTTACTGGATCCAGAGAATAATACTGTAATCTAAGTTTGAAATACTGTTGCTCCACAGAATTGTAAGTCAAAATGTAAGCTGAAACCTGGAGAAATTGTCTTTATTTATCAGTAATAAAGAATTCTTGTATTCTACTTTTATACCAATATCAAACTGGCATAACCTTCACTAACTGCACTTTAGTTGCTTCTAATTGGGTGTGCCTACATGTGCATATAACTGTGATGCAATGAAAACTCTGCTGCTTATCGCAACAGAGTTTATTGCTCCCAGGTGCACTGTCTACATGTTGGACTGCAACACACTGAACCGGGTCAGAGCAGCTCCCACACTTGAGCACCTTCATGCCTCAGCTAGC